ATCATCAACACCTTGACACATGTCCAATTATCTTTGTTCGTACTTTGGGGTTGGATGACAACTCAAACTTAGAAGGAACAGCTCCCCTTTCAGCAGATTTCGACAACTCGTGGTGGGTGGAAGGTAGTCGATCGTCAACTTTGAAGTGTCTTGAGTATACTCTTCTAAAGGTAGTCGCCTAAAACAAAATGAATGTCGTGAAATATGAATTGCCTTGAATTCTTTAACTCTGACAAATCTTAACGATTTTGAAAGTTTCTACTTTGCTTCTCCTTAAAAGAAGCTCTTAAAATACCTTGAACTAAAAGTCTGGACCTTCATCTCCTCGAGTCCTTATGAGCCATTCCTCTCTCAACTAAGTAACCTTTCCACGACCAGGTAAACGGTGAGATTCCAATTTATGGTGATAGCGTGATTTCTTTTCTGAAGTTGAAGGCTCGTCGGCAATAACGGTAGCTAGAGTGATACGAAAAAAAATACGAAACACAAGTTTGTACACTCATTAACTGCAATTATCCACTAATCGACCACGAAATACCATTAAATCCCACTTAATTGTCGTTTATGAGGTAGAATATTTTCCTAGAGCTTTGAGAAGTCCACATATTACAGACAAGAAAGAAGAAAGATTAATTTTAAAGTACATATTTTGTGTAGTCGCCATGTTTTTGATGCTCTTGCCTATCCACTATTTGTTCCTATCAACAAAATCATTGACTCTGACTCTGTGGCGGCTGCTTGGAAGCTTGCAGAAATCTGCCCCATCTTTAAAAAGGACAATCCTCATTAAAAATCTAACTATGATTTGATGTCGATTTGAAATCTCCTTGCCAAGCTAGCTGCCTATGGCGTTTCTCCACCTAGCCTGGCCCTTTTACACAGTTACCTTAGAGACAGGTCCAAGCCCGTGAGGATAGAAGATGTTACTTCGGATGTTGTTGTTTTCTATAAGAGTGTACCCCAGGGATCGGTTTTAGGGCCCCTCCTTTTAAATATTTTTCTTAAAGATCGGTTCTATTTTATTAATCGCGCTAGTTTGTCCAATTGTCCTGATGATACCCGATTTTTTCCAGTGAACGCGATCCTGAGGTGGTAAAGTCCGTGGTCAATGGCGATTTTGCTGTTGCGAGTCATTGGTTTGATGATAAATGCGAGAAATGTTATTATTCTTTCAAAACGCGATCCCAGTGATCTTTCCTTTCGCATTAATGATGCACAGGTTTCAATCGTAGATCATTTAGATATTAAAGGTGTTATCATCGATAACTCGCTAAATTTTAGCAAACATATAGCCAAGATTACTAAGAAAGTTGGAAAGCAGTTAGATGTTTTGAGGAAGCTAAAGAACATGCTGTCAACTTCGAAAATGTGCCTTTAAAACTCGCACGTAATGTCTTACTTTACTTACTGTTCTGCTATTTGGCTCAACTGTAATGAGGCTGATAATCAGAAGCTGGAAAGGCTCAATACAAGAGCTCTAAGGTGTGTCTACAACAAACGGGTGCCCTGTTATGATAATAATTACCACGGTTTAACTTTGTCCAATCGTCGACTTCGAGAAATTGCTATACTGATTTTTAAAGCTGTATAAATATACAAGCGAGTTGCTTGTTATAAGAAATAATGTGTAAAAACTTAAGAGGAACCGACAAGCTCGTCGTCCCACGTAAGAATACTACAACCTTTGGCTTGAAATCCACATCTTTTATTGGTGCCAACGTGTGGAATTCCTTACCGGATGAACTACGCTCAACGACAATTCTTAAGGAATTCAGGAATGCTGTAAGGGAGCTACATTTGCAGTGTACCGTCAATTAAGATCTTCTCACTGCAATAATTTTTAAGAGTTAAGATTGTGTACTCACTTAAAGTAGTTAGAAAGCTATTCATCAGTGGTTTTTTTAATTTTTCGATAGTTTATTTTTCTTTGCTCGGCATATTAGCAAGCCCTAGTCGAGGCTCTCCATGGGGTTAACCGTTCGCTGTATATCGGTCAAAAAACTAGCTGTCAGGCGTAAAAAATTGAACAACTTTAACCCTTAGTTGTTGAAGAAAGTCAACCTTAGAAAATTTTTCCTTACAACAATGTGTTACTTTGTGTCATTCCGGGTTAACCGCAGCAGAAAAATGGCCACAATTCTAACCGTTAGCCGTAGAAAGTTCTCCTCGGTCGGCCCTCCTCAGTTTTAAGAAAGTTTTGGGTCTTTTTGTACAGGCTGTTTTAGTTAAGTTTGCAATCGTGGAAAAAAAAGGGTCATCAATATTTTCTACACTCGTGGAACCGTACCGACCTAGGGTACCTCCCATGATGAGGAAGCTTTCTATAAGCAAAATAAAGAATAAAGCACCATCTCCCAAAGTGAAAGGTAATTTCTTTTTTCTTGCCTTTTCAACGATATGACTAAACATCATATCGCTTTACACGCTAAAAAAAACGCGTCGCGTGACATCCTAAGAAACGGCTGCCAATGAAACTGGCAGATATAAAATCTGAAAATATCGGGGTTTATACCTCATTTAATAACTCTATCCAAGGAAATGGGAAGAGGTTGAGCGAATAAGACATAGATACGCTCACAACTCCAAACGAAAAGATGTGACAAAAAATCCTATCTGTCACATAACGTGCTAAAGAAGTGCGTCGCGTGATATCCTAAGAAACGGTTGCCAGTGACCGATATTAGCAGCTATACAGTCAGAAAATATCGAAGTTTATCTCTCATTCAGTAAACCTATTCGAAAATATGGGCAAAAGCTATTAAGCGAATACTACTTCAAACGACAAGAAATGGCTTATACAGGTTCATGCAGAAATTTTCTTCACTTTGTTATTGAGTAAATACCAAGCGACTTGTTTCACTGTTTGACGTTCAAATGTTATTTTATTGTACTTACATAGCAAGTAAACAATCTAATCGGAGAAACTAAATAAAATCATTTGGCTCCAACTTTCCAGCTCGTTCTGAGCTTCCTTCAATTCTTTGTAAGCCATAACTAAAATTATAAAATAAAACATCGTTTTGCCTTTGGACGATTAGTTTAAACAATATACTTAAAATGCATGGTTCTGCTTGTAGAAAATAACACAATTTATCGCATTTAAAATTAAGGGAGAAATCTCAGAAAATTAACCAATACAAAGACTAAATCCTGGCCATTACGGCCTAAATCTGTCATTCTAAGTCGAGATAAACCGAATTCTGATTGACAGAAATTAACTTAAAGTACTAATGACTGGGTACAAAGCTTCTAAAAGGTAATCACAATTTCCATCTGACATAAACCAAAAGACAACCGAGTATTCGGACAACTGATTATTCTCTAATTTCCATGGAAATTCTCCACACATGCACGTGGATACAACAGCTTTACATCACTCATGAGACGAAAAGCGATTAAGAAAAATCTGTAAAAAAACTGTGGAAAACGTTTTCAAGACGTTTCAACTTCCACGCAAACGTAACGCCTTAATCCTCTTAGTAGGTAATACTTAGATTAAAAATAACTTTTTACATAGCTAATCATGATAATTTTAAGATATCATATGAAAAACAGTTGTTTCAGCAGGATATCAAAGATCAAGCTCGTAAGAGCGGTTCGGACAAGCAAAAAGTCAACTTTTGAATCAAAGGAAATCCATCCTCTTGTTAAACTTGACTTTGGCCGTCTTTTGGTTCTTCCTGCTTTGAAAGGAAGACTCTTGACAAATATTTCATCGGTAGCTTACTCGTTTATGGTCCAAATATCAGCGTTTGCAGGTATCCTAAAACTCAATGGGATTCCAACGCTCACCGCCTTAACTGAAAAATAAAAGAATCTAAGTTTAGGGAGGATAGTTGAGTTGCCCTGGAATATTTCTTAGCACATGAAACGATACATTGCACAACAGGATTGTTTTTAAAAAAAATTGCTTTTTCTTTCCTATCAGGTTTCCTGAAAAGAATGTTATCATCGTAAACATGTCCTCTTGATTGTAGTGCATCTCAACTTGCCGGACCAAACAGAAATTCGTAACCCAACTGAAACATATAAGCAATAATCATGATTTAATGTAACTTTGTATTGAATAGAATGTGCAAACATAATATTTACTTGTTTCAGCTTCGAAATGTTATTGAAATCTAGGTTGACGTCGTCACCAATGAGTACAAATGGTGCCCAGTAAATCACCTTCTTGTACCTTTCAATTTCTCTCATACACTTCATGGCCTGATTGAGAGCTTCACTTGTCTTCTTGCCTTTAGCAAGTGCATCGTAGAAGAAACTCATGAACTCCAGGGTTTCCTCGTCGGCAATCGCCCACAAGGTTACCACAACAGATCTGGCACCGGCTCCCAAAAGTGCACGCGCCATGCCGACCACACCCTCGGCTGTGACCTCCCCACGAGCAGTGTAACAGCAGCTAAGTACAACCAGACGTGCTCGCAACCCAGCGTCTATGACATCTTTCGTCGTCAGGAGATAGTCTTTCTCTTGAAGCAGAGGATTATCTCTTGTGGTGTTTGGTGCCAGGATAACTTCTCCAGTTTCCAGTTTACCGTGGGCTGCAATATGAACTAAGGCCACTGATGATATTCGTTTTAACACTTCATGTTTTGTTGCCATTTCTCCAGTGAGAGGGGAGACATTGAGGATACGTCCGATCATCTCCACTTCTTTCCTTGTTCCTGGCAGTTGCACCAAAAGTGCTTCCTGATAGATGACATGTTTGAAACATGGGTCGCCGACAAGCAATGCACCAGTCTTCATGTGAAAGTCAGCTGGACAATCATGAATTAGTTGCAACGTCGTCAGAGAGGGAAGCACACGAATTCTGAAAGAATCACTTAGATATGATGAGTTGGAGTCCTGCAACGCTGCATAAGGTACAAGGCAAAATGGCCCCTCAGGAACGAATGTGATCTCGTCGTTGCCTTCGATCAGATCGGCAATAGGAGAAACGATGATGTCATGCAGCTTCTTTAAAGCACTTGATTGGGAATGCCTCACATCAACTCGGATCACACCATTGGCCACTTCCTCCTCTGTCGACGAGTCAAGTGGAGCATTTTCGATTGTAAAAGTACCTCTTGCACCGACTCCTTCAGAGCAGTTTTGTTCAGTAGCCGGATGAAAAATCCCAATTCATCCTCACGCCTATAATTGTTGATGTTTACTTTTCTCACTTTTATGTCATCGTTGCTGAAGATCCAGAAGTAAAAGCAGGGTCCCCTCACAGCTATGAAAACTGTGTCTAACGGAACACGACTCAGTGAAACGCACGAAGCTCTGTGCGTTGAAGAACATCCAGGGTAATATTTTGTGTCCATGAGATCTCTCAGAGCTTGAGCACGTCCTTCTTCTGCGGCAAGAAGAGCCTTTACATTTTTACCTTGCTTGATGTTTACGCACCACAGGCCTCTGTATGCATTTTGGTGCTGATTACGAAAACTAATTTTCCACTGATCGTTAAGTTGAAGACTGGCCCTGATATCGTTATACAACAGTACACTCGAGTGATAGCAGAAAAAGGCCTTCTTTAGTTTTCCTAGGCACTCATAATTGCTACCAAGGAGACTTAATGCACACGCCTCTCCATTCTTGTCTCCTACTTCTTTAGCAATTTCTAGATGACATTGATGGTACTCGATTGCTGTTTTGAACTGTCCTAGACTTTGATAAGTAATGCCGAGACCACCATAACTTTTTCCCTCTCCGGCCTTGTCTCCCACCTCTTTAGCAATTTCTAGATGGTGTTGATGGTAATGGATGGCTGTTCTGAACTGTCCTAGACCTTGATAAGCGTTGCCAAGATTGCCATAACTTCTTCCCTCTCCAGCCTTGTCTCCCACGTCTTTAGAAATTTCTAGATGACGTTGATGGTACTCGATTGTTGTTTTGAACTGTCCTAGACTTTGATAAGCAATGCCGAGACCGCCATAACTTTTTCCCTCTCCGGCCTTGTCTCCCACCTCTTTAGCAATTTCTAGATGACGTTGATGGCACTGGATGGCTGTTTTGAACTGTCCTAGACCTTGATAAGCGTTGCCGAGACCGCCATTACTTTTTCCCTCTCCGGCCTTGTCTCCCACCTCTTTAGCAATTTCTAGATGACGTTGATGGTACTGGATGGCTGTTTTGAACCGTCCTAGACCTTGATAAGCGTTGCCGAGACCGCCATTACTTTTTCCCTCTCCGGCCTTGTCTCCCACCTCTTTAGCAATTTCTAGATGACGTTGACGGTACTGGATGGCTGTTTTGAACCGTCCTAGACCTTGATAAGCGTTGCCGAGACCGCCATTACTTTTTCCCTCTCCGGCCTTGTCTCCCACCTCTTTAGCAATTTCTAGATGACGTTGATGGTACTGGATGGCTGTTTTGAACTGTCTTAGACCTTGATAAGCGTTGCCGAGACCGCCATTACTTTTTCCCTCTCCGGCCTTGTCTCCCACCTCTTTAGCAATCTCTAGATGACGTTGATGGTACTGGATGGCTGTTTTGAACTGTCCTAGACCTTGATAAGCGTTGCCGAGACCGCCATTACTTTTTCCCTCTCCGGCCTTGTCTCCCACCTCTTTAGCAATTTCTAGATGATGGTGATGGTACTGGATGGCTGTTTTGAACTGTCCTAGACCTTGATAAGCGTTGCCGAGACCGCTATTACTTTTTCCCTCTCCGGCCTTGTCTCCCACCTCTTTAGCAATTTCTAGATGACGTTGATGGTACTGGATGGCTGTTTTGAACTGTCCTAGACTGCGGTAAGCGTTACCTAGATTGCAATGACTTTTACCCTCTCCGGTCTTGTCTCCCACCTCTAAAGCCATTTCTAGATGACGTTGATGGTACTGGATGGCTGTTTTGAACTGTCCTAGACCTTGATAAGCGTTGCCAAGATTGCCATGGCTGATTCCCTCTCCGACCTTGTCTCCCATCTCGTTAGCAATTTCTAGATGACGTTCATGATACTGAATAGCTGTTTTCAACTGTCCTAGACCTTGATAAGCGTTGCCGAGACCGCCATTACTTTTCCCCTCTCCGACCTTGTCTCCCACCTCTTTAGCAATCTCTAGATGACGTTGATGGTACTGGATGGCTGTTTTAAACTGCCCTAGACCTTGATAAGCGTTGCCGAGACTACCATAACTGAATCCTTCTTCGGTCTTGTTTCCCACCTCTTTAGCAATTTCTAGATGACGTTGATGGTACTGGATGGCTGTTTTGAACTGTCCTAGACTGCGGTAAGCGTTGCCTAGATTGCAATGACTTTTACCCTCTCCGGTCTTGTCTCCCATCTCTAAAGCCATTTCTAGATGACGTTGATGGTACTGGATGGCTTTTTTGAACTGTCCTAGAACTTGATAAGCGTTGCCAAGATTGCCATGGCTGATTCCCTCTCCGGCCTTGTCTCCCATCTCGTTAGCAATTTCTAGATGACGTTCATGATACTGAATAGCTGTTTTCAACTGTCCTAGACCTTGATAAGCGTTGCCGAGACCGCCATTACTTTTCCCCTCTCCGACCTTGTCTCCCACCTCTTTAGCAATCTCTAGATGACGTTGATGGTACTGGATGGCTGTTTTAAACTGTCCTAGACCTTGATAAGCGTTGCCGAGACTACCATAACTGAATCCCTCTCCGGCATTGTCTCCCACCTCTTTAGCAATTTCTAGATGACGCTGATGGTACTGGATGGCTGTTTTTAACTGTCGTAGACCTTGATAAGCGTTGCCGAGACTGCCATAACTTTTTCCCTCTCTGGCCTTGTCTCCCACTTCTTTAGTAATCTCTAGATGACGTTGATGATACTGAATAGCTGTTTTCAACTGTCCTAGACCTTGATAAGCGTTGCCAAGATTGCCATGGCTGATTCCCTCTCCGGCCTTGTCTCCCATCTCGTTAGCAATTTCTAGATGACGTTCATGATACTGAATAGCTGTTTTCAACTGTCCTAGACCTTGATAAGCGTTGCCGAGACCGCCATTACTTTTCCCCTCTCCGACCTTGTCTCCCACCTCTTTAGCAATCTCTAGATGACGTTGATGGTACTGGATGGCTGTTTTAAACTGTCCTAGACCTTGATAAGCGTTGCCGAGACTACCATAACTGAATCCCTCTCCGGCATTGTCTCCCACCTCTTTAGCAATTTCTAGATGACGTTGATGGTACTGGATGGCTGTTTTTAACTGTCGTAGACCTTGATAAGCGTTGCCGAGACTGCCATAACTTTTTCCCTCTCTGGCCTTGTCTCCCACTTCTTTAGTAATCTCTAGATGACGTTGATGGTGCTGGATGGCTGTTTTGAACTGTCCTAGACTGCGGTAAGCGTTGCCTAGATTGCAATGACTTTTACCCTCTCCGGTCTTGTCTCCCATCTCTAAAGCCATTTCTAGATGACGTTGATGGTACTGGATGGCTGTTTTGAACTGTCCTAGACCTTGATAAGCGTTGCCAAGATTGCCATGGCTGATTCCCTCTCCGGCCTTGTCTCCCATCTCGTTAGCAATTTCTAGATGACGTTCATGATACTGAATAGCTGTTTTCAACTGTCCTAGACCTTGATAAGCGTTGCCGAGACCGCCATTACTTTTCCCCTCTCCGACCTTGTCTCCCACCTCTTTAGCAATCTCTAGATGACGTTGATGGTACTGGATGGCTGTTTTAAACTGTCCTAGACCTTGATAAGCGTTGCCGAGACTACCATAACTGAATCCCTCTCCGGCATTGTCTCCCACCTCTTTAGCAATTTCTAGATGACGTTGATGGTACTGGATGGCTGTTTTTAACTGTCGTAGACCTTGATAAGCGTTGCCGAGACTGCCATAACTTTTTCCCTCTCTGGCCTTGTCTCCCACTTCTTTAGTAATCTCTAGATGACGTTGATGGTACTGGATGGCTGTTTTGAACTGTCCTAGACTGTGATAAGCGTTGCCGAGATTGTCAGAACTTTTTTCCTCTCCCTCCTTGTCTCCCACCTCTTTAGCAAATTCTAGATGACGTTGATGGTACTGGATGGCTGTTGTAAACTGTCCTAGACTGTGATAAGCATTGCCGAGATTGCAATAACTTTTTCCCTCTCCGGCCTTGTCTCCCACGTCTATAGCAATTTCTAAATGGCGTTGATGGTACTGGATGGCAGTTTTGAACTGTCTTAGACTGTGATAAGCGTTGCTGAGATTGCAATAACTTTTTCCCTTTCCAGCTTTGTCTCCCACCTCTTTAGCAATTTCTAGATGACGTTGATGGTACTGAATGGCTGTTTTGAATTGTCCTAGACCTTGATAAGCGTTGCCAAGATTGCCATAACTTTTTCCCTCTCCGGCCTTGTCTCCCACCTCTTTAGCAATTTCTAGATGACGTTGATGGTACTGAATGGCTGTTTTGAATTTTCCTAGACCTTGATAAGCGTTGCCAAGATTGCCATAACTTTTTCCCTCTCCGGCCTTGTCTCCCACCTCTTTGGCAATTTCTAGATGACGTTGATTGTACTGGAGGGCTGTTTTGAACTTTCCTAGACCTTGATAAGCGTTGCCGAGATTGCAATAACTTTTTCCCTCGCCGGCCTTGTCTCTCACTTCTTTAGCAATTTCTAGATGACGTTGATGGTACTGGATGGCCGTTTTGAACTGTCCTAGACCTTGGCAAGCGTTGCCGAGATTACAATAGCTTTTTCCCTCTCCAGCCTTGTCTCCCACCTCTTTAACAATTTCTAGATGACGTGAATGGTACTGGATGGCTGTTTTGAACTGTCCTAGACTGGGATAAGCATTGCCGAGATTGCAATAACTTTTTCCCTCGCCGGCCTTGTCTCCCACCTCTTTAGCAATCTCTAGATGACGTTGATGGTACTGGATGGCTGTTTTGAACTGTCCTAGACTGTCATAAGCGTTGCCGAGATTGCAATAACTTTTTCCCTCTCCGGCCTTGTCTCCCACCTCTTTAGCAATTTCTAGATGACGTTGATGGTACTGGATGGCTGTTTTGAACTCTCCTAGACCTTGATGAGCGTTGCCGAGATTGCAATAACTTTTTCCCTCTCCGGCCTTGTCTCCCACCTCTTTAGCAATTTCTAGATGACGTTGATGGTACTGGATGGCTGTTTTAAACTGTGCTAGACTGTCATATGCGTTTCCCGGATTGCAATAACTTTTTCCCTCTCCGGCCATGTCTCCCACCTCTTTAGCAATTTCTAGATGACGTTGATGGTACTGGATAGCTGTTTCGAACTGTCCTAGACTGCGATAAGCGTTACCGAGATTGCCATAACCTTTTCCCTCTCCGGCCTTGTCTTTCACTTCTTTGGCAATTTCTAGATGACATTGATGGTACTGGATGGCTGTTTTGAACTGTCCTAGACTGTGATAAGCGTTGCCGAGATTGCAATAACTTTTTCCCTTTCCGGCCTTGTCTCCCACCTTTTTAGAAATTTCTAGATGACGTTGATGGTACTGGATGGCTGTTGTGAACTGTCCTAGACTGCGATAGGCGTTGCCGAGATTGCAATAACTTTTTCCCTCTCCGGCCTTGTCTCCCACCTCTTTTGTAATTTCTAGATGACGTTGGTGGTACTGGATGGCTGTTTTAAACTGTGCTATACTGTAAGAAGCGTTGCCGAGACTGCAATAACTTTTTCCTTCTCTGGCCTTGTCCCCCACTTCTTTAGCAATTTCTAGATGACGTTGATGGTACTGGATGGCTGTTTTGAACTGTCCTAGACCTTGATAAGCGTTGCCGAGATTGCCATAACTTTTTCCCTCCCCGTCCTTGTCTTTCACTTCCTTAGCAATTTCTAGATGACGTTGATGGTACTGGACGGCTGTTTTGAACTGTCCTAGGCTTTGATAAGCGTTGCCGAGATTGCAATAGTTTCTTTCCTCCTCGGTCTCATCTCCGACTACTTTAGCAATTTCTAGTTGACGCTGATGGTATTTGATAGCTGCTTTAAACTTTCCTAGGCCTTGATAATCGTTGCCGAGATGACAAGAATTGTTTGCTCTGACTATTAGTTCAGCATTAGTCTTCCTTAGTAATTGAAGCAGTCGTTTGTTGTTATTTTCAATCTAAAACGCGTTAAGGGTAGATAAATCATGAGTAGATTTGCGAAATTTAATGGAAATTTGTATTTAAAAAAAAAACAATGAGAGTATTGGATAGAACCTAAAAACTGGAATGATAATTCGAACGTGGGTTTTTTTTTAGAGATTCGATTTCAAGTTATTGGAGAGTTTTAACTATCTGTGGAGTGCATTTATTGGTTTAGGTTCTGTCGTCATGGTGATGCTCGTCTGAAGACAAAAATGAGGGGCATTCAGTTCAAACTCTGGGAATTAACCCTTTAACTTCCAGACCAAATTTGTAGTTCTTCTCACTGTTAACCATTCATTTCTTATTAAATATACTCAAAGAATTTGGTATTGGATCAACCAATTATTCTAAAATTGATATTTTTCTTTATTCTCATCACTTATCTGGTTGATATTGTATTGATGTCGTGAGGAGAAATTATGTCTCGGTCACTCGTGGGAGTCAAAGGGCTAATTAATATGGCCTTTTGAGTAAAGTTTCGTGGAATAATCGAAAGAACTCTTTGAGAATATTTTGGCTTCTTTAAACTGCTCAGTGCAGTATAAGAGAACATTGCTTGCATTATGTGTTGAAAAATCTCTCTGGAACGTATTGATTTCCCTTGAAATATTACTCGCATTGCATCGCGTATCACGTTTGAAACATTCGTTAAAGGATACGGTCAATCCCATATACAACCAGCTCCTTGCTTCTTTATACCAACAAAGTTCGACACAAGCTCTGGCTCCTGAAAAGGAGAGAATAATTGGTAGTGTGTAGTAATTCATCACTGTTAAGGTGTAAACGTATTGATAAACTGGACTTAGTTTCCCGTTTAGCTGGGTACAAAAATTGTGATAATGAGAAAATTTGACCTTGTGGAAGAACTGAAAATAAGCAGTAAGGAGCTAATGCAGAACGGCTACCAATTAAGCTTCAATTGTTGATGATAACGATAAATTTATCTCGCGCATTCTTCATTTTAATGTGCTCTTATGCACTTTTCAGCACTTTTCGGGGAAGTTTTTGGGCAGACTACATTGAGCAGTATAACTTATGAAAGGGATCTTTTCAGGTTGCCTCCTTGCCGGATTTTAACGTCCCCTGCTAAGAGTTACAGAGAAGATGCAGGAAACGGGAGTTACGGTTTTACGTCCATATCCGGGACAAGAATATCAAACCATTTGCAGGTGTCATGGTTAGGTGGCAGCACATTCTCCTCAGATATTTTTAGACCAAGTGTTGTTCTGCTTGAGCCCTCGACCTTCAACGCTCTACAACGTGAACTTGCCAGGCAGCGGTATTTGAGAGCTTATCGACATTTTAATTTCTTATGCTTTTTACCCACATAACAAACATTGACACACCAGATACAATTGACACTTGGGGTGCAGTTACCTACCACAAACCACAAAATCCTCTTTTGACGAAATCAGAGAATAGATTGTTGATGGCTGATGTCTGAAAAACCCACCTTTCTTAATAGCTTTGATTAAAGTGGGTTCCAATTGAACAGCTGCTGTTGCATCATCCAGACATTCCACATATTTTGCTATGAGATTCGGGAAATGAGGTTTAAAAAAGTGGTCATGCAATGAAATTGCGGCAAAGAAGCCTGAAACATTACAATTGCTGAAATTGCAGTCTAATAACGAGAATCATTCCTTTTCTTAATTTTCGTCCACTAAAGGGGATTCATGTATTTGAACTTTTCTTCTACTGTTGCTCGACTTCTTTATTTTCTTGATGTAGATTGTGTATTCCGTTATCTTGTAACGCTGCATGAGAGATTTATATATTGAGAAATGAATTTCTTACCCAAACGGAAATGAGCTGTTGCCCTGTTGCTGTAAAGCTTGGCATTCAGTCGTTTATCTTTGCAGTTGACTTGAAGTGCTACCGTGTAGGAGTTTATCGCGTTATTAGCTTCTCCTTGTCTGTACTCTTTGTTACCTTCCCCAAGACTTACTTTCGCTATTCCTGAAAACACACCATGTTAGTGTTAATGATTTAGCAATGAGTTACACGACTCTTGGCGGATGATGCCAAGTTTATAGTTCCAAACGAACTGTTAGGTTAAAGGAGCTTAGAGCTATGAAAAAAAAAAATCGGAAAAGTTTGGTATTTGTACATTTTGTTTAAGTAAAATGTGTATGGTGTTGGAAGTCTGGGCTGTGCCTTGGCTAATACCAGTTCAAGTTTCTCGGTTTACATTTGACTCAAGAGACTCTCCAAAAACCCTTTTACACATGGGTTACGTTTTCCAAAGTATCCCAAATATCACTAGGAGATCCTTTTTCAACTCAACTTTGTTTACAATCGCACTTCGGAGAGAGATATCTGTGCATTTTGTTTGTTTAAAATATGCAAGCTATTTGGAGTTTTAGCTGAAGCTTGGCTATAACCAGATCAAGTTTGTTTGGTTTACATT